AACCTCCCCATGTGGATGTTGGTCCCATTCCTCTCCAAATGTACCCTGTCTAACCTGTACAGGTCCCACCTTCCCCCAACGCCTCAAGAATCAAAAGCCCTCCATCTTACACCATCTTTCCAGCCATGCATTTACCTGCTGTATTCTTCTATTCCTATACTCTCTACCGCGTGGCACCAGGGCTAATCCAGAGATTGAAGTCTTGCTTTTCACTTAGCTACCCAACTCCCTAAAGGATCCAATTTCCTTTACTCCTTGTGTCATTGGTCCCAACATGGATTGCAACGTCTGGCTATTCACTTTCCCCTTTCAAAGTGCCCTGCAGACATTCCATTCCATGACATCTTTGACCCTGGTACCAGGATGCAAGATGCCATCCTGGAGTCAAGTCTGCGACAACAAAACTACCTGTCTGCACTCCTCACTAACAAATCCCCTACCATTATTTTCCTTTTACACTCCTTCATCTCTTCTCTCACCACCCCCTCTCCCCCTCCCCAACAGCCTGACGAGCAGCTGGACCACCCACAGTGCTATGGCCTTGGTTCTGGCTGACCTCTACAGAGAAACCATCACCGCCACTGTTTTTCAAGCCTGATGAACAGTTTGCAAGCAAGATGCACTCAAGGGATTCCCTCACTACTGTCTGGACTTTTTTATTACGTCTAACAGTCAGCCACTCCCTCTGTGCCTGCTTTTATTTTACTGTTACTCCTATATAACTGTAGACGAGAAAAGTCTTATCCTTGCTTACATCCCAAGTTCCACACGGGTTCACCGCTTGTCTGTTTGTGGAGGTAATAACCGCACCCCTCCTCTCAGTGATGCTGATTGCATACAACAGAGTGCTGACCTCGCCCACTTTCTCAATGATGCTGACTATCTGTCACAGGGTGCTAACCTCGTTTCCTCCTCTCAAATCATTCTCATATTCAGGAAAGTAGGGAGACAGGAAGGAAATAGTATGCCATTTAAACTAAGCACTGTCAGTGAGGGAAAATGCTGGGATGCATTGTTAAGGAAGTTGCTGAACATTTTAAGCAATCGAGCAAAGTCAACTTGACTTCATGACGGGAAAAGTGTGTTTGACAAATTTATCATAGTCCTTTGGAAACACACATGCAGAGTGGATAAAGGGAAACCAGTGATTGTTGTGTATTTGGATTTCTAAAAAGGTTTCTGATAGGTGCCACGGCAGAGTTTTTCCATTGTTTTGGGGTGATAGAGGATTGGCTAATTAACAGGAAACTGAATAGAGAAAAGTTGGATATTTTTGAGTTGACTCATTAGTGGGATATCACAAAGTTCACTGCTGAGACCTCAACTTGTTGCAATCTATATTGGTGACTTGAATAAAGGGACAGAATGTATTGTAGCCAAATTTTCTGATTTTTTTTTTTCCTTTATTCATTCACGGGATGAGGGCGTCACTGGGTAGGCAGCATTTATTGCCCATCCCTAATTGCCCAGAGGGCAGGTCAGAGTCCACCATATTGCTGTGGGTCTTGAGTCACATGTAGGCCAGACCAGGTAAGGATGGCAGTTTCCTTCTCTAAAAGACATTGGTGAACGAGGTGGCTTTTTCCAACAATCAACAATGGATTCATGGTCATCATTAGACTCTTAATTCTAGATATTTATTGAATTCAAATTCCACCATCTGCCATGGCAGGATTTGAACCCAGGTCCCAGGACATTATCTGGGTCTCTGAATTTTAAAAGTCCAATGATAATACCTCTAGGCCATCGCCTCCCCTGATAATACAAAGCTAAGTGGGAAAGCAAGTAGTGAGGACATTGACATATAGCTGGGTTAAGTTAGTAAATAAATTTTGACAGATGGAGAAAAATCTTGGAAATTGTGAGCTTGTCACTTTGGTAGAAAGAATAGAAAAGCATATTATTTACATGCTAAGGACTTATATGTTGATGTGGTACAGAGGGATGTGTGAACATAATTAATCACAAAGTTACCATGCAGCTACAGCTAGTAGTTAGGAATTTAAATGAAATGTCACCTTGTTGCAAGGAAGACAAAGTATAAAAGTGGGCAAATCTTGTCACAACTGTATATGACATTTGTGAGACCACATGGGGTATACTGCATACAATTTTTGCATCCTTATTTAATGTGGTTGCACTGGAGCATTGGCTGCATTTAATTAGTTGCATTGGAGGCAGTTTGAAAAAGGTTATCAGTTGACTCATGGGCTGAGGGGTTGTCTTGTGAGGAAAGCTGGAGCAATTTGGCCTATATTAGTTGGAGTTTAGAAGAACGGAGGTGATCTTAAATATATCTGAAATATAAAAGACTTTGAGAGGATTTAACAGGATAGATGCTAAGTGGCTGTTTCTCCTCATGGGAGAATCTAGAGTTAGATGATGACCATTAGGTTTCAGAATAAAGAGCCTCTCAGTTAAGATAAAGATGGGAAAGGTTTGTTCTTTCAGGATCATTAATCTCGGGAATTTTCTAATCCAGAGAACAATGCAGGCTACTTCATTGAATATATTCAATTCTGAGCTAAACAAATCTTTGATCACAAGTGAATTGGGGTCAGACTGAAAAGCAGAGTTGAGACCCGGTCAGATCAGCCATAATCCTATTGAATCGCAAAGCAGGCTCAAGCAACCAAATGGCCTGCTTCAATTTTTGATGTTCTTATTAAATTTCCAACCTTGATTTGGGTCACCATGTTGCAGATTCATCAAGCAGGGACATAGGTGCTTTAAATGAGTTATACCAGTTGTTCACAATCCCTTTTGATTGGATTTATTTCCCCTTTCCCAAGTGAGAGGTCACAATCATAGTCCTACAGCATGGAAACAGATCCTTTGATCCAACTCAGCTGCACTGACCAGATATCCCAATCCAATCTAGGCCCGTTTGCCAACATTTGGCCCATATCCCTCTAAACTCTTTCTACCCATATATCTATCCAGGTGCCTTTTAAATGTTGTAATTGAACTGACCTCCTCCACTTTCTCTGGTGGCTTATTCCATACATGCACCACCCTTTGGAAAAAGTTATCCCTTAGGTCCTTTTAAATCTTCTCCCAAAACACCTTAAACCTATGCCCTCTAGTTTAAGACACCCCAGCCCCTAGGAAAAAGACCCCGGCTATATACCCTATCCATGCCTCTCATGATGTTAGAGACCTGTATAAGGTCACCCCTCAGCCCCTGAAACATTAATTCCGTTTCTGCTTTCACAGCTACTGCTTGACCCGCTATTTCCAGCATTTTCAGTTTTCTCTTCATATTGCTCTGTTCACTTGCAAAGCTGTTGGTACCCATCAGATTTAAATAAAGTGCATGCTATCTGATCAGCAGCTTCTCATAGTCCTACAGCACAGAGACAGGCCCTTTGTCCTAGATATTTTTTTCCAACATCCTCAAAATGAATTCAATCCTGAGTTGAGTAATTCTTTTCAGAGTCAAGTGAGTCAAAGCTCTTGGAGAGACAAACAGGAAATTGGAGTTAAAGCATAGCCAAATCAGTCATGATTTTTTTGAATAGGGTTGAGTGGGCTATGTGCCTACAGTTCTAAAACCCTTGCAACTGCACCATTCCTCCAGCTTAATGTGTATTTATCTAAACTATTCCTGCCTGATATCGAAAACATAGCACTCAAGTGGTCTTGTGGTTGCTGCCCCTCAGGCTTTCTGCCTTCCAATCTGGAACCTAACTCTTCACATATCCGCTGAAACTTTGACACTTTGATTTGTCATTGGGTCCTACTGGGACCATAACCTCTGGCTGAACTTTCCTGTCAGAAGATTTTCTGTCCATTCCATTATGCTAGACTGTCATCTCAGTGATCTGACATTTATACCTCAAATAATACGGGAAAACAAAACTTGTCATTTATCTCATTATGTTTGTGGGATCATTCTGTGTGTAAATTGGCTGCCACATTTATCTACAAATCTGCAAAAGTAGAACCTGTAATATCTTGCCTGCTGAATATAAGAAATGCCAACACAAATTATACTGGATAGTTTGAGTTCTATATTCTTTAAAGTCATTGTAAGTATTTTTAGCAGCGCACTTAAGCATGCCCAAAGCTGCTTTCCTGTGGGCATTTGACTCGATTTCCTGGAATTAAACAATTTAGATGTTGATGTTCAAGGGCTTTGGCCCCTTGATATGTTCAAATTTTTTTTTCCTCTGATATCCATTTCATTTTGATTGGGGTTCTGTTGGAGGTTTGATATTCTACAATAATGTTCCCATTGAGCTATGATTTTCACTGTTAAACCAACTATGTGATAATCTTCATTCTAAATGCGTGGACTTTGTTCTTCAGATCGCAGAACCACTGTTGATGAGATTCCATTGAATATACCAGCAGTCCCAAGCTTTGCTAGGGAACCTCATTAGTTGGCTTTTGTACAATAAGAACATAGAACATTACAGCGCAGTACAGGCCCTTCAGTCCTCGATGTTGCGCCGACCTGTGAAACCAATCTGAAGCCCATCTAACCTAAACTATTCCATTATCATCCAATACAGAAATACAGCTAGTACCATCCAGTTCCCCATGCCACCAGTTACAATCTGAAGATAAACCTGCTTGGTTCACTCTGAACAAACAGGCAGGAAGAATGTTCTTCCTAGGAATGTGACTGTCTATCTGTTTGTAACACCTGGAGTTTTAATAAGTTTTTCACATGGTTTAAAAGTATAATTGCTGCTGTTATGTGTACCTGATTTCTACATTTTGGTGATCCAAGACATGTTACAAATGTTATAGTAGCTTCCAGTAGGGTAAGCTGAGTGAAGTGGTATCACTTATATTCAATTAGGCTTGTGTGATTTCTCCCAATATTGTAATTCCTTTCACCTGTGGGTTACTAATGTATACAACATAGACTCAGTGCTCATAGCTGAAACCCTCCTGTTTCTTTGAATGCATTCAGAGGAATTGATGGATGCACATGTTTATCAAGGCCAGTCTGAAACTGCCAACTTTAAGCAATGTTTTCTTTCTACTAGATGGCTGCACCCTATGTGCCTACCACTGCCCCTGTAAGTGGCCTGGCCCTATTTCAGCGGCACATCAAGGCTATGCATGATTCCGCACTTCAGGAGGAGCAGATGCGACAAAGGCAAGAACATATGGATGCTGAGCGCAGAACCTCTTCCAGTCCCAACATCAGCAGCAAGACCTGTCCAGTCTTGGACAGAGAAGGTATCAGTAGTGTCATCAATGCAAACAAAAACTGCTCGGGTCTTTTACATGTTTTACCAACAGTTTTGATGAGGGTGCCACATTGATGCCAAGACTGATGTTGTGCAATACCACAATAACTCAAGACATATTATCATTGAATACCAAACCATCAAAATAATAATTATTTATCCATAAACTAACTTGAGACAATATTCACCTCTGCATGATACCTTGCATACATTCCGAGTTGGAACAATCCTTGTCACTGTACTGCTACAGTATTACACTTGGAGAAGAATGAATTTTATTGCCAATAATTGGTCATGTACTTTCTTCCCCATTTCCTATTTATGCGTCATGTCTGTTAGGGTCTTGGATGAATTGTTTGGGCAGATGTAAGGAAATAACTTCCTCATAACTTCTGTTTTCTGGAGTTTAAACCATGTCCTAGTCCCTTGCTACAGGCGAAGGACTTTAACAGATGCTGCAATCAGTGCTTTCAACCAAGTCTGTGTTACACACATTAGTAACCCACAGTTTCTAACTGTGTCTGCTGTCCAATTACATTAGTTTATACAACCAGAGTTTATAAAACAAAGTAAGAATCTACTTACAGTATTTCTCAACTGCAACATGAGCCCTTTCACCTGTTTTATACTAACAGAATTAAAGGATTGTGAATCTGAGATATCGATATTTTATGAGACACTCTACAATCACTAAATTCATCTATGTTAGAAACCTATTTTTAATGTATATATAGATCTGGAAAGTATTGTTCCTATATTTGCTTACTTTCTCCTGTCCAAGCGTTTGCTCTTTTAAGTTCGCCATATATGTATTGGAATATTTACAATGTTTGCTGGGCAACATTCCAGCTGCATGCATAATGATACCCTGGCTGGGCTTGATGACAGTCCACAAGCTGCTTACCCTTGACACAGATAAAGACCAGAGGTTAACATTGCTTCAATATATCTTGGAAATAGGGTAAGCAGAAATTATGTTTGTTGTCCACAAAGTCTCCTGTAAGAAACTGTTGGTGCTCATTGTAGAAACATTTCTGAAGCGTTTTCCAGAGTCTGTCAAGCTACAATGCCACCAAAATGTACAATCCAGATGATATTAGGTATTCCAGTTAATTCCATCTATCCTTGGGCCATCCCTGCCACGCAGTTGGCTGCTGGTGAGCCTATCTGACATGAACCTTTTCCTGTGCTCTATAAAGCTGCATAAGTTCACTCAAAAAATTGATGTTTGATGATTAGGCTGTTTGACGACAATCTAGAATGCATTTTGAGTGTTTTGATTTTGTTGGAGATGCTGTCCTGTGCATGGACATGTTGGTTTACGTCTGTGTTATGCTTAGACTTGAATGTGGTCTTGAAGTGAAGTTCTAACTGACTTTCAGAATCTATAGTGCTATTCAGCGAAAAGGTAGTGGCTATCTGGTGTCCTCCTTGACAATGCTGCTTCACACTATCACCAAAATAAATAATCTCATCATAAGCCTTGCTATTTCTGGGATCTTGCTATCCTTCTGGGATGTATGGCTGTCGTACTTGTCTAGCAAATGGCATCTCTGAAGCACTCAGTAGCGTTTGAAAGAAGTGGTAAATGGCATTGTGTTGTTGGGTTAGTTTGGTTTCAATAACTCTCAAACTGCTAGTAGTAATAATGTGGAGATGCTGGTGTTCGACTGGGGTGGACAAAGTCAGAAGTCATATGACACCAGGTTATAGTCCAACAGATTTATTTGAAATCACAAGCTTTCAGAGTGTTGCTCCTTTGTTAGGTGAAGTCACTAACTCTAACTGTAAGATATTTACTGTTAGGAGAGCACTCACTTGCACTAGCTGCTTTCTATGCTCCTTTCATTTAGATTCTCTTGTCACGTAAGTATTTGTCATTACTTTCTATTACTTCACAGACTATTGCTGTTAACTCTTTTTATGGGGTTTAGTCTAACATGCTCCATTGTAGTACATGATGAAGTGCTTAAGAAAGACAAATGTTTTGTCAACAGTCATGTTTATGGTGTTCTCTTGGATTGGGTTGGTGCATAATCCATGGAATAGGTTCCTAGTTTTTACCTGGTCATGTACGTACTGTCAAGGATTTCAAAGTTTTTGTATAGCTGATATCGAAGGGAGGGAGTAATGAAGGTTTATTCAGCTTAAATCACTGTTGTAGACTGAGCGATTGCCTGTTTGACATTAAATGACCATCAGGATGATTTGAAGCAATAATTTTTAGCTGTTATTTCCAAGTTAATCTATAAAGCATTAATCATCCTGACTTGAGCATAGAGTGGTGAGTTATGAACACATTGCTTACTCTGTAAATGTATTATCTTTTAGTTTTAATACTCCTATTTGTTGGACAGCAGCTCATGCTTATCAATGTTTGCTGAGTTTCGTGATAGGATACAATCTGCATGGGCAGACTGGATCCTAGACTGAATTCAAACGAAAGCACAAGTACCTGGATGTAGAAAGTTCTGACTTATTTTAAAGCTAGACCTGATGGGAATCCATGGCAATCCATCAACATCCAAGAGGTGATTGCCTTTACCAAGTGCTTTCAGTATTCTGAACTGAATTTTCCAAGTTGCTTCGGCAAGGTGCTTAATGTCTGAGCGTAGCAATGATTTATGGGAGGAGAAATATCAGAGCATTGTAGTGTCTGGATGAGTATCAGAGAAACATGGACATCAGTGAGTGTGAAATTTAGCTTTCAGTCATTGTGCAGCATTAGAATGCTTGACCCTGTGTAATTTAGAATGAAGGGATGTCCAAAGGGGTATATTAACTGAGACAATGATGGTCAATTTTATTATTATGTTGCTTACATTTATATTCATATTGCTAATGTAATGACGTTATAAGTAGAACTTGCTCTATATCTCTGTATGGCAGAGTTCTGTTTATATATTGAAGTGTTTTTGCATTTTGTTCCAGTGTAAAAAGATAAAAATCAAACATAATTGATATTGAAATTATTTCCACACAAGCCAAATTATTGGCCGTTTCTCAACATAATACCCATTTAATCAGCAGATAGGGAGCACCCTTTTGTGCACCACAAGAGTAAGTTTATGCATCATGTGTCATTTTCCCCTTTTTAAAGTACTCAATGGAGGAGGTTGAAGCTGCCCTTTCGTTCAACAGGCGGTACAGAACACAATGTTGTCAACCCAGTCCCATATTTCCAGTGAGACTGCTTCATTTTGACATCATGCCCACTCCATGCCCCATCCCAAACTGCCCCATATCTCTGACTGCCCAGCCCTTCATTTGTCCAGACTCCTGCCACTTCTGCACCTTTTCACGCTCCTAACTAATGAAATGAAAATAGAAGTTGTGCACCTTTGTGCCTTGAAGGTCTTGTTGCTGAGAGTTAATGGTTACGCAATTTCTGTCATTCTGCAGGTAAACCATTTGTTTACATGCCATATCACGAGGCAAGGCGTGTGATGGAGCAGGAATCACAGACAGCAGGAGCCAGATCCGCATCACCATACAGGCTGTCCCCAAGGGAATCCTGTAAACTTTCTCCACAGCCAGAGATGAACAACTTGCGGTACAGTGTGCCACCAGGTAATGAACCATAACTATCACCCTTTTATGCCATGTTCCTTGTGTCATAAATCTGCATCATTTGGAAATGGTCAATAATCAGATAGTCTGTTCCTCCTTCTATTTACAAAAAACCAAAGAACAAGCACAGGAACGGGCCCCTCACCCTCCAAGCCTGCGCAGGTACATTTTGCCCTTCCATACTAAAACTATCTTCACTTACTGGATCCGTATCCCTCTATTCCCTTATTTATTCATGTATTCGTCCAGGTGCTTCTGGAACGCTGCTATTGTGTCTGCTTCTACTACCAACACCTCTGGCAGCTCGTTCCAGGCACTCACCACCCATTGTGTGAAAAACGTGTCTCGCACATCTCTTTTAAACTTAACCCTCCCCCACAACTTGAACCTGTGCCCCTAGTAACTGATCCCTCCACCCTGGGTAAAAGCCTCATACTTTCCACTCTATCCATGCCATTCACGATCTTTTAAACTTTTATCAGGTCACCCCTCAACCTCTTGCAATATGGTGAAAACAAACCTAGTCTATTCAATCTTTCTTCATAGCTAAAATCTCCCATGCCAGGTAACATCCTGGTAAACCTTTTCTGTACGTTCCTCCAGATCATTCACATCCTTCTGGTAGTGTGGTGACCAGACTGTACACAATATTACAAGTGTGGCCTAGCTAAAGTTCTATAAAGCTGCAGCATAACTTGTTTATCCTTGTACTTCATGCCTCTTCCCATGAAGGCAAGCATACATTAGGCCTTTTTAACTATCTTATTTCCCTGCGCTGCCACCTTCAGTGATCTGTGGACTTGCACACCCAGATCTCTCTGCATATCAATACTTCTCAGAGTTCTGCCGTTCACTGTATAATTTCCACCTGTACTTGATGTTCCACATGCACCACCTCACATTTGTCAGGATTAATCTCCATCTGCCATTTTTCTACCCATGCCTCCAACTGATTTATATCCTGCTGTATCCTCTGACAGTCCTCCTCACTATCCACAACTGAACCAATCTTTGTACTGTCTGCAAACTTACGAAGTAGACCAGCTACATTCTTCTCCAAATCATTTATGTAGATCACAAACAGCAGAGATCCCAGCACTGATCCCTGTGGAACACCACTAGTCACAACCTTCCATTCCAAAAAGCATTCGTCCTCTGCTACCATCTGTCTCCTATGACTAAGCAAGTTCTATATCTATCTTGCCAGCTCACCCCAGTACTGTGAGACTTCACCTTTTGTACCAGTCTGCCATGAGGGACCTTGTCAAAGTCTTTACTGAAGTCCATGTAGACAGCATCAACCCCTTTTCTCTCATCAATCATCTTCACCACCTCAAAAAAATCTTGGTCAAGTTGGTGAGGCACAGCCTCCCCTGCCCGAAAGCAAGCTGTCTATCGCTAATCAGTCCATTTGCATCTAATTACTAATAGATCTTGTCCCTGAGAATCTCTTCCAATAATTTCCCTACCACTGACATGAGGCTCACAGACTTGTAGTTTCCTGGATTATCCCTGTTAATCCTCTTAAACAATGGGACAACATTGGCTATTTTGCAGTCCTCTGGGAACTCACCTGTGGCCAAAGACACTACAAAGCTGTATGTCAATGCTCCAGCAATTTGTTCTTTTGCCACTCTCAATATTCTGGGATAGATCCCATCAGGACGTGGAGACTTATCTATCTTAATACTATTTAAGATGCACAACACCTCTTTCTTTTTAGTAGCAACTTGGCTTAGAAATTTGACATTCCCTTCCCTGACATCAGCCTCTACCATTTCTTTCTTTTTGGTGAATACAATACAAAATATTCATTTGAGACTTCATCTTCCTCTTCTGGCTCCACACATACATTCCCTCCTATATACTTGAGTGGGCCAACCCTTTCCCTGGCTAACCTCTTGCTTTCTATATATTTCTTCTGTTCATGATCAAAAAGTACTCCAGTTTCGGGAATATGTTGTCTTTGAATCTATTTTGAAAAAAATCACGTCTGGTTTAAGACTAATCCCTTTGCAGATGAGACTAAACTGAGTGGAGGAGGAGCAGGTGAGCTGTGAAGAGAATGCAGAGATGCTTCAGTAAGAAATGGCGTGTGAGCACAAATGTATGGCAGATGAAGTATATGGATAAATGTCAAGTTATCCACTTTGGTAGCAAAGGCAGGAATGTCAAGAAATTGGGGAAAGCAGGAGGTGCAACGAGACCTGTGCATCCCTGTACACCAATCAATGAAAGCAGGTGCTGCAAATGGTGAAGATGACAAATGGTATTTTGGCCTTCATAGTGAATGGATTTCAGTACAGGAGCAGGGATGTCTTGCTACAATTCTACATAGCTTTGATGAGAACGCACCTGAAGTATTGTTTGCAGTTTTGGTTTCCTTATCTGAGGAAGAATGTTCACTGTGGCCCAACTACAGCTGGAAGGTTTACCAATAATTCCTGGGATGACTAGACTGATGTACGAGGAGAGCTTGAATTGGTTAGGATTATATTCCATGGAGTTCAGAAGAATGGGGGACGATCTTGTAGAAACTTATAAAATTCTGACAGGATTAGACAGTGTGTTGCAGAAAAGATGTTCTGGATGACTGGGAAGTCCAGAACCGGGGGCACAGTTTAAGAATACGAGGAAGGCCATTTGGGACTGAAGTGAGAAGTTCCTTCACCCAGAGGGTGGTGCGTCTGTGGAATTCTATGCCACAGAAAGCAGTTGAAGCCAAAAACAGAATTTTTTAAGGTAACAGGGAGAAAGTGAGAACCAGGGTACTGAGTTGGATGATCACATTGAGTGGCAAGGCAGGCTTGAAGGGCCAAATGGCCACCACCTGCTTCTATTTTGTTTCTGTTTCTATGTACACAGCTTACCGGTGATATTTTAAATAACGTTGCTGGCTTTCTCAAGGCAAACGATTGTTCTGACTACAGCAAAAAGAAAGTTGCTGGAAAAGCTCAGCAAGTCTGGTATCATCTATGAAGGAAAAACCAGTTAAACGTTTCGGGTCTGGTGACCCTTCCTCAGAACAGAGGGGTCTATTTTTCCCTTCACAGATGATGCTGGACTTGCTGAGCTTTTCCGGCAACTTTCTTTTTGTTTCTGATTTACAGCATCCGCAGTTCTTTCAGTTTTTAGATGTTCTGTCTAATTTTGGTCATGGTTCAAGGATTTCTGAATCAAATCTCTATGTTTCAACTTCTACTCCAGAGGCTAATGTTCCCTTAACTTTTCATTTGAAGTGTCAGTAAGATTAGATAATCATGTTTAAATCGCACTTTAACCCAAAATCACATCTTTCCTCTCAGGTGGCCCTGTTTGAAGAAAAGTCAGTGAGTTCTTTGGGTGTACCGGCTGCCATCTATACTTAAGCAATGTCATTAAAAAGAACTACATGGTCATCATCACATTGTTGTTTGAAGGCTGTTGCTGTGCACTAATTGGCTGTCTTGTTTCAATCACAGTGACTACATTTCAAATGCATTGTGGTATTGATGAACTAGGACTGAGCTGAAATTGGCAATAAAGCTATTTGAATGGAAGTTCTTTCTTTACATGTATCATGGCTTCGAAAACACAAACACAAAAATACTTGTAAATCTCAATACGTCTGATAGCATCCACAGAGAGAAATCGGAGTTAAAGTTTCGGGTCCAGCGACCCTTCTTCAGAACTAATGGTAACGAGGAGAAAGTTTGTTTGTATGCAGATATAGGATGGGGTGGGGGGAGGATAAACAGTAAACAGTAGGTTGAAATAGAGTCCAAAGAGAGAGAGAACCAGTTTTGGACAGACAACGATGTGGAGAATAGACAGCCTAGGAGAATGAATGGCCGCTAGTGGGGTCTGTTAGTGGCTAACAATGGGTAGTGTGTAATAGCAGATCATGTGATAAGAAGACATGGTGTGTGGGGGTCTTAGGGTTAGTCCTTGTCTGCCAACTGCTCTTCTCTCTCTTTGGGCTCTATCTCCACCTATTGTTTACTCCCTACCCTCTATATTCTGCGTAAAAACAACCTTTTCCGAGCTACCATCAGTTCTGGAGAAGGATCACTGATCCGAAATGTTAACTCTGATTCCTCTCCACAGTTGCTGCCAGACCTGCTGAGATTTTCCAACAACTTCAGTTTTTGTTTCTGATTTCCAGCATCCACAATTCTTTTGGTTTTTCATCAATTCCAAAGTTACTCTGGTGCCAGAGTTTAGACAGGTGAAATGGAACTGACCTACCAAATATAAATAGTGGCTAGAGGTGCAGATCAGAGGCTAGAAATCTTGCAACAAGTAACTCACTTCCTGACTGCCCAAAGTTTGTCCACCATCTAAAATACAAGCCAGGAGTATGATGGAATGCTCCCCACATGCCCGAATGAGTGCAGTTTTGACGACATTCAAGAAGATTGACTGTATCCAGGATACAGCAGGCTGTTTAACTGCCACCACATCTACAAAAGTTTGGTCATTCCACCATTGACGCCCAGTAGCAGTGCTGCAGAAATTTACCAGTAATCTTCAGACAGCACCTTTCAAACCCACAGCTGCTTCCATCTAGAAGGAAGGGGGTAGTAGATATTTGGGAACAACCCCACTTGTAATTTCCCCTTCAAGCCACTCAGCATCCTGATATGGGAATATATCACAGTTCCTTCAGTATCAGTGGATCAAAATCTTGGAATTTCCCCCCTAATAGCATTGTAGAATAACATACAACACATGGACTGCAGTGGTTCAAGAAGGCAGCTTGCCACGACTTTCGCAGGCAATAAATGCTGGCTGAGCCAGCAATGCCCGCATTCCATGAGTGAATGAAAAAAGGCAGAAACAGTGTGATGAGAAAGTAGGTAGACACTCAAAAAAAGGAGAAAAAAGTAATGACTGCAGAGTAAGTCACTGCAGGTTTGGATTTTGGTTCTCCGAAGTTGCAAGTACATCACTTTTCGTTTCCGAAAGTGCTTGTTATCCAGACATAGTTACAACAGTGTATTTGACTAACTGACCTTGTTACTTTGCCTTGCAGTTCTTCAGCCTGCTCCACATCAAATGATGCAAACCACGTCGGAGGGAGGGAAGTTAGTGATTACCAGACCGGCTAGACCATCCAACATTCCCTCCCCTCCCCCCCTCATTCCTTCAACAAAACCACCACTATCCACCGAGAAGCCATCATTCAACATGGGAGGTTCTATTTCACAGGTAAGCAGGAACTCCATACCATTCAATTCTAGATATATGACATACTGAGGGTCTCTTAATGGAATCTATCTAAATTAATTAAGGCTGTATAGCCTGAGGAAGGATCACCAGACCTGAAACATCAACTCTGATTTTTCTTCACAGATCCTGCTGGACCTGCTGAGTTTTTCCAGCACCTTCTGTTTTTGTACATTGTAGAGTCTGCATTTGCACAAGACCTAAAAACCAACTGCATTTTGTGGCCTGTCCTTTGCTGAAAATGGAGCTGGCCTGGTTTATGTGGACAAACATGGTGAACACTGGTTCTCTGATATGGCCTGATCTTTCCATTGAATTGACATAATCCCAATCTAGATACTATTAGAAATCACCTGTATAGGGTTAGTATACAGGTTCATTCCATCTAAAGTGACACTACTATGTCCAGATGCCAAAGTGTAGAAGTTAGTTCCCAACCCTAATTGACACTTCTTTGCACATGTCATTCTCTTGCCTGTTCTTCAGGCCTGTGTATGTGGCCTTCCCTGATGCGTGCATGTATGTGTGTGCGCGCAATGTACATTGGGTACCAGTCAAGATATGGTGTATATTGCTACTTGTTTTGCTATCTCTGCTGGTTTATCAAATGTTATTCATCTTTAATGAACCTGTTGCATGTTTCAGAGTCAAGAATTTATTTAAATTCTGCAGATGCTGTAAATCAGGAATAAAAACAAGTTGCTGGAGAAGCTCAGCAGCATCTGGTCTGGCAGCATCTGTGGAGAAAAAAATCAGAGCAGTTCTGAGGAAGGGTCACCAGACCCGAAACATTAACTCTGATTTTTTGTCTTCATAGATGCTGCCAGACCTGCTGAGCTTTTCCAGCAACTTCTGTTTTCGTTCAAGAATTTATTTGTCTTGCATTTATAATAGAAATGATAATGTTCAACTTTGGTTAAAAAATGTGTGATGTGCTCCATGTCTCAGGATTACAAATGGCTATGTATTCCATTAAGTGCATCTGGATTCCCTTGTATTTCCTGAATGTTTTTATCGTTTTGCAACTTCAGTCTCCTATGCGAATAAATTTGACTTTGATGTCTGAATGACTTACTTTGACTTTGACTTTGACTTTGGCTTTGTCTTGCTTGTTTGGCTAGCTGAGTGGGAGATAAATTTCCCTCTCCTTTCCATGCATTTGTGAGGCCATCGTCAACTGATGACAGATTATAACTATGGCTGGGAGATTAAAGAGTGAGCTTCTCTGGGAGTCTGAGTCATCACAGGGTTTCCGACTGAGCACCATGGACTGCTAAACAAACCGGATCAAGTTGGAGTGGATTCTGTTTGTTTTCAGCGTACATTTTAATCTGATAGAGTTGGAGAGAGCTGTTTGGTATAGAACATAAAACAGTGCAGTAAAGTAACTGGCCCTATGGCCCACCATGTCTGTGCCAACAATGATGCCATTCTAAACTAATCCCAACTGCCTGAATACAGTCTATATCCCTCCATTCCCTTTGTGTTCATGCGTCTTTCTAGATGCCTCAATCATTGCTATCATATCTGCTTTTACCACCTCACCCCACAAGACACTCCAGGCTCCTAACACCTTCTGTGTAAACAAAAACTTTGCCTTGCACATCTCCTTTAAACTCTAACCCCCCACCCCACCCCCACTCCCACCTTAAACCTATGAACAAAGAACACAGGACAGGAACAGGCCCTTCAGCCTGCCAAGACTGTGGCGAAACATTCCTTTCTAATCTAAAAATCTTTTGCCTGTACGTGGTCTGTATCCCTCTATTCCCAGCCTATTCAAATATCTATCAGGATGCCTCTTAAATATTGCTGTTGCATCCACCTCCTCCACCACCTCTGGCAGCATTCCAAGCACTTGCCATCCTCTGTGTAAATAAAAAAAACACCTGCCCGTCACATCTCCCTTAACCTTACCCTCCCCCACTTTTTTTAAACCTTAAACCAGTGTCCAATAGTAATTGATATTTCCATCCTGGGAAAAAGACTCCGCTAACCAGTCTATCTGTCTCATAATTTTATATGCTTCTATCAGGCCACCCTTCAGCCTCTGACCCTAGTGAAAACAATCCAAGTTTGTCGAACCTCTCTTTATAAGCTAATACATTGTAATCCAAACAACATCCTGGTAAACTTCTTTGCACCCTGTTCAAAGACTATATATCCTTTCCATAGTACTCCAAGTAAAGTTTTATGCAGCTGCAACGTGACTTACCAACTTCTACGCTCGGTGCCCTGACTGATGAAGGCAGCCATGCTATATGCCACTTTTGCTACCTTATCCACTTGTGTTGCCACTTTCAGGCACCCCAAAATCTCTCTGTATATCAATGCTCCTAAAGATCCTGCCATTTTCCACTTCCAATGCAAGATGCTTTGCAGCAAATCACCCAGGCTCCCTTCAACAGCATCTTCCAAATGCCTAATCTCTAAGTTGTAGAAGGACAAGCACAGTAGATATATGGTTACATCACACCAGGTTTCCCTCCAAGTTACACGCCAGCCTAACTTTCAAGAGTTTCCTCTTGCATTTCACTTCCTAAAATGCACCACCTCACACTTGTCCAGATTAAACTCCATCAGCCATTTCTCCACCCAAATTTCCAACTAATCTATATCATGCTGTATCCTTAGATAACCTTCCTCACTATCCACCACTCCACCAATTTTTGTGTTGCCTGCAATCTTATTAATTAGACCACTTACATTTTCATCCAAATCATTTATATATATTACAAACAACAGAAGTCCTAGCACTGATCCTTGTGGAACACCACTGATGTCAGAAAAACACCCCTGCACAACTACCCTCTGTCTTCCAAGACCAACCAGTTTTGTACCCAACTTATCAACTTGCCATGAATCCCATGTAACTTAATCTTCTGAAGGACTTTGTCAAATGCTTTAGTAAAGTCCATATAGACAACACTCACTGCCCTACCCTCATCAGACATGTTCGTCACTTACTTGATAAACTCAATCAAATTTGTGAGACAAGACCTTCCCTGCACAAAGCCATACTGACTATCCCTTATATCCACTTTTGTCTCTATTCACTGACCTATAATTTCCTGGATTATCCCTGTTGCCCTTCTTTAAAAAAATGAAGAAACATTGGCTATTCTCTGGTCTTCTGGGACCTCGCCTGTGGATAAAGAGGATACAAAGATCTCTATCAAGGCCCCAGCAATCTCCCAGTGTCTGACCACATTTTCATCACAACAGTCCCCAGTTATGATGACTGTGTAGTCAGGCATTTTTGTCCATTCAATTGTTTGGAACTGCCCGAGTAGAGTTTAGGTATCAGTAAGCAGCAACTTGTTTTGTCAGTGCAATACATTGTACTGCCATAATTTTCACAAGGTTGTTTGAGTAGCGTACAGAGATATCTTGGGTGAATGTCCTTAGCTCTCTGAAAGTGACAACAAATGTATATAAGATAGTAAAGAAGACATATGGCATGTTTGCCCTTATCATTTGGGACATTGAGTGTAAAAGTTGGCAAGTCATGTTGCATCTGTATAAAACTTCAGTTCAGTCAAATTTGGAGTATTGTGTGCAGTTCTGTTTGTCACAGTATAGGAAGTAGTGGAGCCTTTGCAGAGGGTGCAAATTTTTTTTTACCAGGATGTCGGTTGAATTGCAGTGTATGAGCTATAAAGAAAGGTTGTAGTAGAATCAGATAATTTGAGACTGAGTCTAGTTGTCTGTCTCTCTGCAGGTCAGTGCAGTAGAAAACCATTGAGTCAGTCTTCTGATATTGGAGCAGTAATACAATGCCATCCACTTGTATATGAATCCTTGGCCATTGGTTATATAGTTATTTGGAATACCTGCGCCAAGGACTGGACCACTTGCTGAACCTAAGTAGAACGCTGTGGCTTGTGTGCTTTGAGTTGCAGGATCTCAACAGATTAAGTGTTACTTTTGTTCTCTGAAACTAAATGTATGAATCACTTTCCTGATGATGTTGAGAAAATTCTGTGACCTGCTGAGACAGTGTGTGTCCTGATCCCACTTTTTACAGTGGGCATGTTAAGTTTTGCAGTATCACCATCACTTTATAAAATCTAGGTATGTATTTAGCTACTGGGAATTTAATATTTTAAAGAACGTATTTAAATTGTAACAACATACGGGTTTGAGTGACAGCCTGCAGCCATGTGTGAATGTATTTATGTTAATTACAGCAGTAAACGGGAGCAGCAGTCTGCTACAGTCTGTAAGAGGTATGGATCCTCCAGTTACTTCCTTTGATTTCTGTAAATGTGTTTGTGTTGCTGGTAGGTAAATACTGATGAGCCATGCCCAAAGCCCCAACTTGATTGTAATTAGGTCACTATCTTGTTGTAGAGGCTGCTTTGAAGGATACATATTTTTTCCACAGGAAGATAATGTCAATCCCACATAACTTTTAGAAGGCAATTCACTAGGTACATATTTAAAGCTTGTGCCAGTGGTGTGTACGCTAGCCGAAGTTGGTTCATGAGGTGCTCGTTATCAAGGATGAAATCAGTCCCAAAGCCAAACTGTATTGTGTAGGGATAAAATCAGCAAGAGTTAAAGCACATGGATGCTGGCACTTCACTCCAACTATGACAACACCAGCACTGAATCAATCGGGTTTGTAATGTGGTTTAAAGTTACAGGCTATGACAGGCCTCTTCTGCCTCTCTGCTAGGTGTATTATTTGAAACTGAGGAATATTAGCACTGGTGTAAAACACAACGTTTAGAAATTCAGTTTCTGAAATCTGCATAAAACAGTGTTTTCTTTCCTTGCCTTCAATGAATAATGTCTGCAATTGAATGGTTAATTGTTAAGAATAGAATTAGCATTTTTCTATCACTGGAATAGTTCATTAAGGCTGGAGTGGTGAGCTGCATTTCATAAAGTTAGATACTTATTGAACTTAAAACTCCTCCAAAACAAAAGAAGTCTGGGCAGAACTGAGCGATGAGGAAAATATCAAAGTTTGAACAAAATTTTCCTTTCTCCATTTCAGGTTTCTTCTGGCACATACCTAGCCCCTCACAACCAAGTAGCTTACAGCCAAGAAGCTGTGAAAAACACAGTGGGTTCCATCTCCCTCGGGCTGCCACGGCAACAGGAACCTGTGAAACCCGGTGAGTTGCCTACTTTTGTTTCTTGTTCATTATGGTATTTGTTTCAATTATTGATAGAACCCCCAAAACTTGGGGGGGACTAGTTAAGAACCTCAAGGATGCATAGGATTACTGCTGCTGACCCTGGGTGAGGTGAGACCGTGGAACTTGCTGCCGTGTGAACGTAGAACAGTACAGCACAGAACAGGCCCTTCGGCCCACAATGTTGTACCGACCTATTATCCTACTAAGATCAAACTACCCTGCATACCCTACATTTTACTGTCCTCCATGTGCCTATCCAAGAGTCGCTTAAAAGTCTCTAAAGTATCTGACTCCACTACCACTGCCGGCAGCGCATTCCACACGCCCACCACTCTCTGTATAAAGAATCTACCTCTGACATCTCCCCTATACCTTCCTCCAATCACCTTAAAATTATGCCCCCTCGTAATAGTCATTTCCGCCCTGGGAAAAAGTCTCTGACTGTCCACTCTATCTATGCCTCTCATCATCTTGTAAACCTCTATCAAGTGACCTCATCCTTCTTCGCTCCAATGAAAAAAGCCCTAGCTCCCTCAACCTTTCCTCATAAGACCTGCCCTGTAGTCCAGGCAGCATCCTGGTAAATCTCCTCTGCACCCTCTCTAAAGCTTCCACATCCTTCCTATGATGAGGTGACCAGAACTGAACACTATATTCCAAGTGTGGTCTAACCAGAGTTTTATAGAGCTGCAGCATAATCTCGCAGCTCTTAAACTCAATTCCCCTGCCAATGAAAGCCAACATACCATACACCTTCTTTACAACCCTATCAACTTGGGTGGCAACTTTGAGGGATCTATGGACGTGGACCCCGAGATCTCTATGTTCCTCCACACTGCCAAGAGTCCTGCCATTAACCCTGTATTCTGCATTCAAATTCGACCTTCCAAAATTAATTACCTCACACTTTTCTGGGTTGAAGTCCAAGTGCCACTTCTTTGCCAGCTCTGCATCCTGTCAATGTCCCGTTGCTACCTGCAACAGCCCTCCACGCTGTCCACAACTCCACCAATCTTCATGTCATCGGCAAACTTACTAACCCACCCTTCCACTTCCTCATCCAAGTCATTTATAAAGATCACAAAGAGCAGAGGTCCCAGAACAGATCCCTGCAGAACACCACTGGTCACCGAGCTCCAGGCTGAATACTTTCCATCAACTACCACCCTCTGTCCTCTACTGGACAGCCAATTCTGTATCCAGACAGCCAAATTTCCCTGCATCCCATGCCTCCTCACTTTCTGAATGAGCCTACCACGGGGAACCTTATGAAATGCCTTGCTAAAATCCATATGCACCACATCCACTGCTCTGCCTTCATCAATGTGTTTTGTCACATCCTCAAAGAATTCAATAAGGCTTGTGAGGCATGACCTGCCCCTCACAAACCCATGCTGACTATTTCTAATCAAAGCATGTGTGGAGTGGTCAAGATGAATAGTATGGATACATTTAATGGAAAGTTGGATAGCACAACAGGGAGGCTGGGAAGAGACCATGTGAACCTGTTTCTGCATTGTAATTCCATAACTTGATTTAACTCGTGTCTTATTCCAAACCAGTCCCCAGTCACTGTAGTGTTATCAATCAACTTGAACTGAGAATCCGTTCACTCACTAAGATCGGTAGCCCATACAAACTTGGTCCCATTCACTGGACAGTCTGTTCAGACTTTCTGTTGTCACTTCCGGCCTTTTGATGAGTTACTTCTCAGAAAGCATTAATTACTCCTTAAGCTATCCTTAATTTGAAACTATAAAAGCAAAGTACTGCATATACTGGAAACCTGAAACAAACACACTGAAAATGCTGGAGAAACCCAGCAGATCTTGTAGCATCACCGAATCTCCCACCATCAATATCCTTAAGGTTACCGTTGAGCACGAACTCAACTAGACTTGCCACATAAACACAGTGGCTACAAGAGCATGTCAGAGGCTAGGAATACTGTGGCGAGTAACTCACCTCCTGACTTCCCAAAGCCTGTCCATCATCTGCAAGGCACAAGTCAGGAGTGTGATGGAATACTCCCCATTTAGCTGATGGGTGAAGCTTCCTGAAGTGGTTATTGTAGCAAAAACAGGAAAGAAAGTTATATCTGAATGGTGATGATTGCAAAAGGGGGAAATGGAACAAACCCTGGGTATCCTTGTACACCAGTCACTGAAAGTAAGTGGTAGGTGCAGCTAGGAGTGAAGAATGCGTATGGTAATTTGGCCTTCACAGCAAGAGGATTTGAGTACAGGAGCAGGGATGTCTTGCTGCAGTTATACCACGTCTAGTATGACCACACCTGGATATTGTGTGCAATTATGGTCTCCTTATCTAAGGAAGGATGTTCTGGCAATGGAGGGAGTGCAATGAAGGTTTACGTGACTGATTCCTGGATTGGCAGGACTGACATATGAAGAGAGACTGGATCAGTTAGGACTCTTCCACTGGAGTTTTGAAGAATGATGGGGGAGTCTCAGAGAAACTGATAAAATTCTAGCAGGACGAGAGAGGGTTAATGCAGGAAGATGTTCCCGACGACTAGGGAGTTCAGAACTATGGCTCACAATCTAAGGATACAGAGCAGGCCATTTAGGACTAAGATGAGAATATTTTTGCCCAGAGGGTGATGAGCCTGTGGAATTCTCTGCCACAGAAAACAATTTTGGTGAAAAAATTGACTGTTTTCGAGAAGGAATTAGATATAATTCTTCAGGCAAAATGGATCAAATGGTATGGTGAGAAAGTGGGGACAGAATAATGAGTTGGATGATTAGCCATGATCATATGGAATGGCAGAGCAAGCTCAAAAGGCCAAATGACCATCTCCTCATCCTTTTTCTATGTTTCTGCATCACCCCTCGTACTTCCAAATGCCAATGAGTACAAACCCAACCTATTCAACCATCCATATCTGTGCTTAACTTGTTAAATCCTCTCTGGACTGTCTCCAGTGTCAGCATATCTTTCCTTAAATAAGGGGACCAAAACTGTTCACAATATTGTAGATATGGTCTAAGAAGTGCAATGTAAAACTTATTTTTAATATAAGCCATTCCCTTTGAAGTAAAAGCCAATGTGCCATTGACCATCCTTCCCTGTTACCCAGTGAAATTGGATGCCAGCTTTGTGATTTAGGCACAAGGATCCTCCAGTCTCTGTGTTGCTGCTTTTCTGATATCTTTCTCCATTTAACCAGTTTCAAATCCTCTATTCTTTCTGCCAAAGTGCATAACCTCACATTTTCCGCATTATATCCTTTTGCCAAGTTTTGGTCCACTCACTTAACCTGTTCATGTCTCTCTGTAGACTCTGTGTTGCTTGCCTTATTTGCCTTCCCAGCTATATTTGTGACATGCCAAACTTGGTGATGGTACATTCATTTCTGTCATCCAAATCAATAATTATTGTTAATAATTCTTTTTCCCAGCACTGATCCCTGCGATACACCACTAGTTACATATTATCATCCTGAAAATGCACCCCTACCCGCCTCTCCGCCCCCCCCCCCCCCCCCTCCTACCGGCCCTCGTCTCTCTCCCTCCCCCTCTCCCTCCTGCTCCTCGCACACCCCC